CACACACACACACACACACACGCTCTCTTTCTCTCTCAAAAATAGACATTTTTGGGGCGCCTGGGTGGCTCAGTCGGTTGAGCGGCCGACTTTGGCTCAGGTCACGATCTCGTGGTCTGTGAGTTCAAGCCCCGCGTCGGGCTCTGTGCTGACAGCTCGGAGCCTGGAGCCTGTTTCAGATTTTGTGTCTCCCTCTCTCTGACCCTCCCCTGTTCATGCTCTGTCTCTCTCTGTCTCAAAAATAAATAAACGTTAAAAAAAATTTTTTTTTAAATATACATTTTTAAAAATAAATTAAAAAAATAATGCTCAATGTTAGCAAACATGTGATACAATAACCACACTTACACTAGTAAAAACACAAGTCAATGAAAGTCTCTGAAAGCAAGGGCATCAAGATGTTTTTACCTTTGATGCACGAATATCATCATTAGAATTTTTCCAAAAGAAAAAACCCAATAAAAGCAAAAGACCTATGGGTATGGAAAAATACCTGCAGTATTATTATCTAGAAAAGTTTTTAAAAACCTATAAGGCAACCTAAATGATTAGCTTGGTAAACCGTGGTAAATCAACCAAATGGAAAAGTAAGCAGCCATTTAATTTACAATTATGGAAAATAATTATGAGAAATAAGTGAAAAAAAAATCTAAACAAGGTGCTATTTTTAACCTATTAAATTAGCAAAATATTTAGAAAATAACAATACCCACTGGTGAGAGCATAGTCAAGTAAGAAATATTGCTAGGGCTAGTACAAAATGTTAGAAATCATTTAGCAATCACTATCAAGAGTGGTAAAAATATTTAATAAAATTTGTTAAAAGTTAGGGGCACCTGGATGGCTCAGGTGGTTAAGCGTCCAACTTTGGCTCAGGTCCTGATCTCATGGTTTGTGAGTTCAAGCCCTACATCGGGCTCTCTGCTGTTAATGCAGAGCCTGCTTCAGATCCTTTGTCTCCCTCTCTCTCTGCCTCTCTCCCACTCATACACGAGTGCGCACGTACTCTCTCTCAAAAATAAACATTAAAAAAAATTAAAAGTTAAATAATAGTCATTAAATAATTTAATAAAATATTTGTAATAGATATCCTTTTCCTGTCTGTCCAAACTCCTTTCCTGGGAGAACCACCTTCCCTATTTTCTTTTTTTTGTTGTTGTTAGACAATTTCAGATATTTAAAAAGTTTTTATTTATTTACAATCTCTACACCCAATGTGGGGCTGGAACTCATGCCTCTGAGATCAACTTCAGATTTTTATGGAAAAAGTTATTAAAGCATTAATCAACATCACCTTCCCTGCTTTCTAAAATAAATCTGGTCAGT